GTCAGGGTAATAAGATGATTGGGAAAGGGTGTATGGGTAATAGGTTTAGGGGTGTGGGGTGGGGTAGAGCGAAGGAGGGAAGAAGAAGATGAGGGGAAAGGGAGAGGGAAGGAGGGAGGGAGCGAGGGAGGGGGAGAGGGAGGGAGGGGGAGAGGGAAGGAGGGAGAGGACGAAGGGATGGGAGAGGAAAGGAGGGAGAGGACGAGGGAAAGGGAGAGGGAAGGGGAGAGGGAAGGAGGGAGAGGACGAGGGAAGGGGAGAGGGAAGGAGGGAGAGAACGAGTGGAAGGAGAGAGGGAAGGAGGGAGAGGACGAGGGGAGGGGAGAGAGAAGGAGAGAGAGGACGAGGGGAGGGGAGAGGGACAAGGAAGAGCATTTGTACACAGAATATCAACCAAATAAACAAATTTAAAGTTATTTGACAAGTCAGGCACATATAATTCACAAACCCAATACGTCAATACCACATACACTTAAGAATACACACACACAGTACACATATGTGCACACATATAAAGACGGAAGTGTCTACGTAGTCATGGTGTCTAGGTGGACCCCAAAAATGTTGGATTGTGATTGGCTCGCTGAGCGAGCGGTAGTTTACATTGATTACAATGCAAGGCTACTGATCATCTCGGGCGGTATGTCGATCTGGTGTTACTATAATTTATTTATTTTAGCCCAGAGAGAGAGTATTTAATGAATAGGAAGTGCCTTTTTGCAACGCCGCGTTGCGATTAGCGCAAGTGCTAAATAAAACGCTGCGTCGCCGTATGTAAAATATTAAACTTAATCTGCACTTCGGTATCAGAAGTTCTGAGTGATGGCCGAAGTGACAGCGCGTCTGCGCTTGAAGTGAAACCATTATTTTTTTAGCGTTGGTTCGATCACGGTCCTGGACGGGTTTTTTTTCTTTTCTTTTTTTTGGTTGTTTTTTTTGTTTGTTGTTGTCCTCTTCTCGACTGACCAACAAATTGTTCCCATAATTATATCTTGTTGCTTTGTAGTTTTTTATGTAGTGATGAAGCATGCACATTCTGGTTTTGTCCCCAAGACTTGGAGCTCTGTACAAAGTAGGCCTTAGTATAGCCTATACTTTTCCTTTTACCAATTTAGGCCTGGTTAAAGTTCAGTAGTGGCTTTCCTTGGTCTGTGAGTCTAATTTTTTTTTTTTTTAATAAATTTTTGGCTCAGGAGAAGGAAAAAAAAACCTTCCGGAACCGGGATTCGATGCCGCGCTTGGAAACACTGAACATTAGACTTAGAGAACGTAGACAGTAGACAGCTTGTATACGTTCTCTAGGCCTAACTTAAAGTTCGAGTTGCACCGTCTTGTTATTGTTATCCAAGCGTCTTTCGACTTAAACTTACTCAAACTCTAACTCAAATGATTATGATTATGAGAGATGAACAAGACGTCTTCTTTTGAGCAAACAATGTCAGAAACAATTGTTAGATCTAATCTAGACTAGATCTAGATTTTTTTAGATCTAGATCTACCCATGTTGATCGGAATAAGACAACGTCATAAAAAAAGGAGTCAAATCCTAGGAGGTTTATCAAAAAACTGAAAGCTTCCACAATTCAGGCAGAACTACAATATTATCATGTAGAAACGATGGCTACTACATCTAGATCTAGATATCTAGATTCTAGATCTAGTACTGGCGTTTCAAAAAGCACGGGAGCTATTCAGAACGCGGCGTTGCAAATAGCGCTTGCCTAATGAATAAACGTAATCTAGATTTAGATCTAGATTTTGTTGTGCACCCAGCCAAGAGTGTGCAGTTCGGAAAGTAGATGATCTAGATCTAGATCTAGATCTAGATCTAAATCTAGTGGTGGCCTGGTGGGCGAATAACCGAAGAGCGAATATCGATTTTGACTACTCCCCTGTGAATTGGCGGAGACACACTAGGCCTATCATGCAACTTGATTCACAGGTCTACTATCATAATTATCAACAGTAGGCCTACTTGCTTCTGTAGGCCTGGAGTCTACTAGTTTCAAATGGCTTCTTTTTCGGTGCACGGTTTCGGCATTCCTGTACAATTGCGGTCCTGTTTGTTTACACGACGGTTATTGTGGGAGTGAATCTAGATTTCTAGATCTAGATCTAGAATCTAGACCTAGATCTAGATACGTTTATTCATTAAATACTCTCTCTCTCTAGGCTAAAATAAATTAATTATAGTAACACAAGATAGACATACTACTACTACCCGAGATGATCAATAAGTAGGCCTAGTAGCCTTGCATTGTAACCAATGTAAACAACCGCTCGCTCAGTGAGCCAATCACAATCCAACATTTTTGGGGTCCACCTAGACACCATGACTACGTAGACCCCAATCAGGGAGTACCTAGACACCTCCTATAAAGACACAAACATGAGTGCACATCCACACACATGCAGCTTACCTGGTCAGTAGACGTAAGTGGACATACAGTTGCCAGATACTCCACCAGTTGAGCATGCTGGCCAGGGTGAAACTGTCGGCCTTTTCCTTGACTATACAGCCACTCGCCCAACAGCCTAGGGGAGAAAAGATAGAAACACATCAAAGTCGCATCGTTACAAGAAAAACTACTGATGTGCCTAATCAACAATGGAAGGCTCCACAAGAACATCATTGGCGGGCCAGTGTATTCCAATTGGCGATTCAAGTCTCGAGGGAAACACACTGCATTTTAATCTGCTAAGGGCACACCGCTACCGTTTAAATATTGCGTCTCTGTCGATTGCCAAGAACCTATCTTTACAGCTGGGTGAACTATTTACCTTTAGTTAGCCTTTTTCGGCACTCGCAACACAATTATGTCATATAAGTGTAGAGAAGATTACGAGGTGTTACAAGAGAGCAACAAATACAAAAAAAGAAGGAGGAAAGAGTACAAAATATGCCAAACCACACCAGACACCTGCCAACCACCCATTGGCTGAACTTTTAAGAACAGAGTCCACATTTTTAAAATTAAAATAGACAACCTCTTACCTGGTGAAGCCAAGAATCTAAGTCATAACTGTTTCACTACTGAGAGCCACACAGCCAGACCAGGGTGATGGTGTGGTTTGCTCCCTCTTTCCTATCAAACATCTATTGCCTGATCTCCCCTCCTTCTTTTCTGTGTTTTTTACTCCCTTGAAACACCTCTAATCTTAAGCACTTGTATAACCTTCTTGTGTTGCAAGTGCCCTAAAAACTCTTACTTAAACTGCCCCTGCCAGTAATATTTATATCCAGATCTAGCTCAAAAGGTCAGTTGGTTTGGCCCCCCGCTGCGCCAGAGAAAAACTTGTAAGCTGTGTTTGTAGCATGCTCTGGACTTGGTCACCAAACCAATTTAATCAGTTCATTGAAGAGCAATTTAAATGTACAGACTTCATAACTTCTAGTTTACGCAGTACGCGCTTGCTTGGCTTTAAGAAGACAAATCTTTAATACAACACATTTTTTGCCTTCTCTTTTTCTTCCTCAACATCAATGTCTAAGGGAACGATGTATAAGACAAATAAACAGAAACACCAGTTCACACAAAGAACACAAAGGCTATACCAACCTTTCTTTCTCTGACACCATGTAACCATCCAGGACATAGACTGTGGGGCACCAGTTCCAAATGTATGGCCGGTAATCAAACCCTGTAACCTAAGTCAAGGAAGTTTCTTTTCTGTCAATAAAAGGAATAATCTACACGTCAGCTGAACAATCTTGGGTGCAGAACATACATTTATCCTTCACTAGTTATGCAAAGTTCTTAAGTCTCTGAGAATGACAGAGAAAAGACACATTTGGACTAGTCTTTAGCGGCAATGCTGGACTTTCCAGACACAACACAAAAATATGGAGTAAGCAATCTCTGTCAAAGACAGAGTACTTTGGCATGTACACACGAGTGATAATGTTGAGGATGTGGCATGTACACGTGGATGTCATCACTGAAGATGACAGCGTTTGCCTCTGCCTCCAATTCTGAACTTGAAAACATGAGGAAGTCCTGAATCCCTTACCCGAATGGGGTTTGAACTCTTCTAGACCGTATCATAAAGGTATTTCCTCCCAGCCAGGTCTCTAATCATGCACACAAGCATCGGCTCTTCTAAATTAATTACCAGTATTCTAAAGAAGCTATTCAGACAACATCAGCTTCTGTCTCTTTGTCAAGTGCCATCATGTGGAGAGTTAAATCTGTATGAGTCCCTGTGTGTGTACAGGTAGCTTTCTGTGTAAGATGAACCACTGGAAGAGTAAAAATTTTGTATACGGGGTCACCAAGTTAGCAAATAGGCGAGATGTCTGAAACTGATCTTGTTCAGGAATAATGCAAAATATTGTGATCTGTGACTTGTGTTGTGCCTGATAAGGCCTTGATTTTTCAACAACTACAACAGCAAACAAAAGGATATTCATTCTCTGCTGTCATCATGAGGCAGGGATTTTCAGCAACAGAAAACTGTTGCAGATTGGCCAACCCAGACAGGTAACAGATCTGCAAAAAACAAAAATTGACAGGTTATTACATACAATCTCCATGTCACAGTTCACTGACCAACTCAAGAGGTCGAGATTTTCAGGCTTATGTTATCTACCTTAGAGGAAATGGTTTCAAGCTGATCTTAGTGTGAAGCTGGGAAAATCATCTACTATGGGAGTAGGCAGGCATTGTACCATATATGCACTTATTAGCTTCAAACACAGGGCTGGTCAGTTTCTGTTTTCTAAAAAAGTCCCACTCATTTCATTGTGTTGATAAAATGAAATTTGGTGATTTATTCTTCAAGTTGTAAAGTGTGTAGCTCTTCTAGCACACTACTACTCTAGTGTGTTTCTCTGCCACTCCAACGAAGTTCATCAGTGATCTGCGTATTCTAAAAGACATAAAATATACACGAAAACATACAAAACACTTCATCAATCCAACCTGATATAAGAGCAACAAGTGAACATTTTAGAAGCAAATCACAAATATTCTACAACAAAACAAGAGAACTTCATTTTAAAAAAGCTCACACTAATAAATTATATTTATTCTTTCCATACCAAAAAAAATGAAAGCTGTCAATGCAAGAGCTACACCTATACTATCGGCGTATGGGCGAAAGACACAACAGCAGAAACATAAATTCAGGATTGTGCATAGGCCTCTTATCCCAAATATAAAGTATATTTGAAGGTCTGAACAGAACAACAAGCGACTTGTCATCAGCAAAGAAAAATTCTTTTTTTATTTTTTTTATAGTAGAGGGTTTTACAGCGCTCGCAACTGCATAAGGTCATATGAGCGCCATGGGATGGGTGTCAACAGAGAAGTCTTTATAGGGAATCAGACTTAGACTGCTCACCTCTCTAGTTTCAACAGCACAAGGTCTGCTTCGACTATCAAGGCACCCCAAAATAGCAGGTCACAAGAGAGTGACAAACATACAAAAAAAGTAGAGGAAAATGACAATAGTACGGACAGGAAAGAAAAAGCAGCAGTTCCCTGTTGTATATCAGGCACAGTTATGTGTGTGACATGAGTCAGCCCATTTACAATTTTACTATGCTTGAACGAGAAATATCCCCCCTTTGGGAATGGCCTAAAGACACTACAGTCAGTGGCACTGCCCCAGGGGATAGAAATCTTGCTTTTGGTTCAAGTCATTGGAACAGATCCAAGGCCACTGTAATTCAACTGTTGATATTACTGGTGTGAGGAGACAAATAGTATTTTTCATTTAATAGTGGGTTAAATGTAGTCAACCGAAACTGATGACATTTTCATTTCAAGTACCGAAGTCTGAGTGATATCACAAAACAATTCTGAATAACTCATGACAACTTTCACCCACCTCCCCTCCCCCCTTGAGTCTTAATTTAGTGACTTTTGGCAAAGATTGGCGATTTCTACTGATTCGAATATTTACAGTGATAATTGGGTCAACATGACATATCAACAAAGGGATGTTTGTGTACTGAAAAACAACATGTGATTTGAGAAGCAGACAAAATTTGAGCACAGCTTTGCATCTTTCTGTTGATACACATTCACTCAAGTTATTGCTTTGACAGCTGGATATCATATAAGTTAAAACAACATGATCCCTCCTTGTACCTCACTCAGGTCGTAAATGCTGTTATCAGCAAGGGAGAGAACACTCAGATTCTGGGGCAAGTGTGAGACTGCCATCTTCAGAGACGTGATGCTGTTACTATGCAAAAGTAATGTCTGGGAAGAAACACAGAATGAAAAAAATATTTTAAAAACATGCATTTAGGTCTATATTCTGAAATTCAACATGGCCATTTTCAGCAAAACAAGATGAGACAAAATATTTATACCTGAGACAAGAGGAAAAAAAATTACATTTGCATTCGCGGAACCTATCCAAGAAATTCACTGACTGTCAAGGAGAAAAGTGGTTGTCTTAGACAGGTGGTTCTCTTGGGCAGTGTCATTATAATATAGAAAAAATGCAAGGGGGAGAGAGGAAGAGGTGGTCATTTAGACGGGTGATTGTTTTGGACGGGTGGTTGTCTGAGCAGATTTGACTGCACTTACACCATCATTATAAGAAAGACCTCTATAAAAATATAGAGAAAATATCAAGAGAGACATCATTACAACTGAAATCAACTTTACAAGCTGGGAATAGGAAACAGAAGAACGCAGACAACGGAAGAGAGAAGTGGAGAACCAGTATTAATTCTGTTACCCCAAGTGGACAACAAGAGTGTCCAGTGGAACTTGCCCAATGCCAAAGTGGACAGTCCCAGGGTCCGATCAAATCGCAGAATGCAAGAAGCATTACTGTGACTAGTATCTCTTACAAATCCAAGTAGGTATATTTTGATCTGGAAGTCTTAGATAAATATATATAAACACCCCTTCCACTTTCACTTTGACAGAGCTTTAATCATTTTATGAACATTTTTCATGCATACCTCATAGAGTGTTTTACGAGATCTTGAAAGAAATTATACCTATTAAATAACCTTACAGGACTGCAAGGGGCATAACTAGTATAATTTCGCACATGTTTTTACTGATTGGCCTGATCAGTCAGATGCGTCAGCATCAGAGAACGCTAAATGTTGAAAGATTCAGGACAAACACAATTGCAAGTGCAGTGAAAGAACAAGCTGAATGTCAGAAGAAGAATATAACCATTTATTACTGAGACCCATATTGTAATGGTAAGATGTTACTTGGAATTACTTGGATCCAGAGCTAGAATCATAGCAGGCGGTAAGATGTTCTTTACTTAAACACATCCTATGAATTATTGTTAAAAGTGACATATTAACTTCATTAAGACATATGAAAAATGCAAAGACCATAATCAGAAGCAGACAATAATCAAATATCTAAAGCCGTGTCTATAGTTCTTCTCTCACTTCAATAGAAATAAATATATGAAATACTGAAGACTTTTACAAGAACACTTTTACAAGAACACTACCCTTATTTAAAAGGCTAAACCAGGTCTGATCCGCAGCTAAAAAGTCCAAGCCTAGACTATCATCTAGCTATAAAAATAGACCACAGGAACTGAAATCAGCGAGCACAAAGTTTCATACTATGACACCAACCTTCAAGTTGTCCATATAACTGAGGTCTGAGAAGTGAGTAATGTCATTGTCCGATAAATCAATGTAATGAAGCATTCCCGACTTTGGAAGATGTTCCACAACCTTCAAAAAAGAAGACAAAGTGAGCCACATTAAATAATCACCACTTTTGATAAATTTCTTTTTCCTAACATAGAACATTTCATTTAAAGTTGTCATCTCTGCAAAAATAAAATAATGAAGAATGAAATCAATAAGTAAAGTAAATACGTACCAGTCAGGGAAATTTTACAGGAGACTGAACAACTATAACTGTTGAAATGTAGAAACATGGCCAAAAATAGAGAAAGCACCAGTGCGAAGGCTTTACAGTTGTCAAAAATGTATGAAAATCAATAATGATAACACCTACAAGGAAGCTGCAAAGTCACTAATGATGACACAGGTCACTAGAGATACAGTTGTCTTCACCTGAAAAAAATTTGTGCTCAGAAATCAAAATAAAACAAGAGAAATTGAGCATACAAAATCACAGCTGGATAAGAGTTGAGGTCAACCCAAGAATAAGTCATTAATCTACCCTGACTTTAAGCTGAAAAGAAGCGAGTCCAGCGATCGTCCGTACTGCCTGGAGTTTTGTTGACAACATTGCCCAAAAACACAAAAGACTGAATATATGCAGTAAGTATCCGGTCCAAAGCTTTGAAACATTAGAAATCTATTTATCCCTATTCTTATACTCTCCCATCTCCATGCCCACTTCTCTTCATTCACATTAGCAAGATAAGGCGTGAATGCTTTGGGACAGTAGACAGAGAAAAAGAGTAAGAGTGAGGTATGGAAATTTACACTGGAATTTATTGATGGTATCAATGATGATGGTATTAAGCCAGCCAGGTGTGATGTTAAGGAATTAATTTTGTTCACATGGACCTAAGGACCATACAATCAATTCACTTGGCATGTGGCAACAAGACACTGTTTCCTGTGATTTAGGAATCTGTAACTTTGCTGTTTGTAAATTTATTCATAATGTTCTTTTGGACAAACTATTTTTCTGATCACCTGGCATAGAGATCACAGCTCCATGGGCTATTCTAACCACCCCATATGGCATCAAGGAGCTAGGATACCAAAAAAGAGAGCACGATAAGATAAATAAATCGTAACAGCACCCATCTGTCCTGAAAAAAAATGTTTCTAGGCTATTTCAATGCTGACCTTGATAGAATTGGAGCTGAGGTCTAGCCATGTGAGATGCTCCAACAAGTCAAGACCTTCCATGGTGACGATACTGTTGCTGGCCAGACTCAACACTGTCAACAGGGGGAGGGAACCCACTGCATGCATACGCACAATGTGATTGTGGACTGCAGACAGCTGTAAAAAACAAAAAACAAAAAAACTTCTGAGTTCTCAAATAAAATCATCCTGAACTCAAGTCTGTGAACAGCACAAATAGAATGTTTTCTTTCTGGTTTGAGATGTTATACATCTTACATCTGAGAACCAGTGTCTGTGGGTGGCTGGTAGGAGCTTTGGTGTGGTTTGCTCCTTCGTTTCTATCAAACATGTCTCATTCTTATTTCTCCTTCTTCTTTTTTGTGTTTATTACCCACTTCTTACACCTCTAATCTTCAGCACTTTTATGACCTTAATGTGTTGCAAGTGCCGTAAAACTGTTAATAAAACTAAAATGAACCAAGATCTGAATGCAATTCCCATGGGGAGAGGTTATGTTATTGAGCACCTCCTTTTCTTTGCAAGGTTCATTATATGTATCCAACTCAGTCTGGATTGGCCCTGACAGGCCGGCTCAAAGAAGCCCGCCTCTTAAATTATCTAGATTCAGTGTATGGGGGTCAAATCATTCACAATCAGTCAATCACATGTTTGAGAGTGAGTGTTATACACCAGTGAGTGACATTTGCATACCTGAGTGTTATATACTGAATCAGTAAAATTATATGAATGAGTTAGTGAGCATTGCGAAGCAATGAATGAACATTATTTACGCGAGGAGTGAACGGGTGCTGTATTACTGAAAGGGTATTATTGACAATATCAGAGTGTGATTGTTATGTACTTGTGGGTGAGCAGTAAATCATATCAGTCTTACATGTTTATTCAGTATTAAATTTCAACCACGAAGACTGAGTGTACATATCTTGGAGAGTGAATGTAATGGTACAGTACTTGTTGATGTTAGACGCCCCTAATGACATTATTATTTAGATCATTTAGGTGGCAAGCAGCTTCAACCCTGCCTGTCAGGGTCACCTCAGACTGAGAGGGATACAACATTCAAACAGATAGACGAAGATACTCGATAAAAATACTTCCCCACACAGGAACTGAACTCACATGTTCTGCGTGCAATGGTGAAGTGCCATAGATGCCAATGATTGTTATGAATGAGTATATATGTACATTAGTGAGTGTATACATATGAGTGAGTGATTGTGAAGAGTGAGTGTACATACCTGAGTGAATGTTTGGTGCTTGATTGAGTGAATGAGAGTTACATAACAGAATGAGTGAGTGTTATGAGTAACTGAGAGAGAGAGAGAGAAAACGAGCAAGAGAGAGAGAGAGAGAGAGAGAGAGAGAGAGAGAGAGAGAGAGAGAGAGAGAGAGAGAGAGAGAGAGAGAAAGAGAGAGAGAGAGAGCAATTTGAGATGACCATCCAGTGTCAAGGAGAAAACTGATTATCTTAGACAGGTGGACCTCTTGGACAGTGTCAATAAAATATGCCCCCCCCCCCCAAAATGCAAAGAGGAAAGTGGGAAAAGGCTGTTTTGTCTTGTACAAATGGTCTTCTTGGACACGTAGTTGCTAAAACTGGTTTGACAGAATATTACATACCTGAGTGAGTGACGGGCATGCCTCCAATCCATCCAGTTTGCTGATGTTGTTGTTGTCTAGTATGAGTGTGGTTGGCTTGAACGCTATGGACATGTTGTTCTACTGATTTTTTTTGTCTCTTCAAACATGAAAAGGGGGAAAATATCATTGGTAAAAGAGTGCTCTCCATATCTGTCAACACACAGTCTGATTTGGTTTTGTTTGACATTTATGAGAGAATCTGAACAAAAGAGAGAGAGGGATGGAGAGAGAAACAGAGAGAGAGAGAAATTGAGAGAAAGAGGAAGAGAGAGAGAGAGAGAGAGAGAGAGAGAGAGAAATTGAGAGAAAGAGAGAGAGAGAGAGAGAGAGAGAGAGAGAGAGAGAGAGAGAGAGAGAGAGAGAGAAAGAGAGAGAGAGAGATTACATATCTTTGACAAGATGTTCACTTGTTCTAAGCCCAAATGGCAAACATTTCAAGAAAGAGAAGAAAAAAAAACCTGTGTCATTCCTTTATACATCTAAATTATAACATCTTTATATTATATATCTTATTTTACTTTCCCCAACATTTACAATCTGAATTTCCACAAAATATTTCTCCAGCACGAGCAACCGATTCCACAGATTAAGAAATTGCTATAAATTTGTTTCACAATTTTGGGCTTAGTACATCTGAACAGTTGGCCGACTGCGTTCTTTTAGCAAAGTTGACATGCAGATCTAAATGTCTGTACAAATTTCGAGAAAGTTATATTGTTCTTGAAAAAAATCTTGTATATACTGTATCAAGTGTGTATTGAGATTACAACTTTAATGCTTTCATTTTCTATTTCACTGCTAAAAAAAACATAACATTACCAATTTTGAGCTCATCATTCATTTGTAGATTTTCAGTTAAAAGTATAATGTCGGAGTTCAATATAGCCTAATGGTTTCGTCTCCCCTTTTATTTTCCTCCAGACAAGAATTTTCTTCAAAATACTCACAATGTTCATTATATGTCCAGCCATAACTTTTTTTATTATGGAACAATTTTCAAAAGAAAAAAACCCACTTTAGTTATTCATTCTCTCCCAAGGTCTAAACCGGAGCTGATCTAAGGCTTTAGACAGCCATAAGGCTGATTCGAATGGGTCCTTGTTTTCTTTTTTTTTTTAAAAGAGGGAGGATAGTGTAAGAACGTTTTTCTGTGTGTGTTGTTGTTTTGTTTTTTGGTTAGCTTTCTTTTTGCTGATTTTGTGCAAGGGTAAAATAACGAAACATTATGAAAGTAAGACGATGTAGACTGAGTGCCATGGTAAAACAAAAACACCATTATATCGATGAAAAGCTGAACTTTTACATGGAGTACAGCATTTGTTGTTTTATAGCGAAAGAACAAAGAAACAGCGGTCTGAATTACCCCGATTTCACCGAAACCACAAGCTCAGAAGGCCGCGAGGCCGTGTTTACGCTACCTTATTATAGTTGAAACAACACTTGCGCGTATAGGTTCAACACAACTTGGGGCGAGTCAACCACTAAATCCGCCATCGATTTTTAAAAAACAGTGCTCCGAGTTCCTGCGGACAAAAAGTTTAATGGGTGCTTCCCGCAACTAGCAGTGATTTAACTCTACTCTACCAAGAAGTCAAAGGTTGTAATCATACAGTGAAACTTATATACCCGACTTTCACTGTAGGCCTACCAAAGTAATTTTTTAAAAGTATGATCTCTAGATATAGATTCTAGTTACTTTCATTCTGCATACTTCACTCTTCATTAAATTATTTTGTAAATTTGATCTAGACGAGGTCTGTCTCAGAACAAAGTATCCCTCCTCCGTTAAATCAAAAGTATGCAACCAATAGCCACTAAATTTAGTGACATCATCATCATGATGTCATGTCTAATAAATCTCCGTGCCAAATTGCAAGTGGATTGGTGAACTCATCATAGAGCTGTAACCGTATTTGGAATAGGCCTACCACGTGAAGTACTCAGCCAATCAAATCCGTCCAAATACTGAGTGCAGGTGCTCGATTTAACGTCGTGTAGATTTATCTGCCTCACTCAACCATCAACATTTTAAGTTCATCACACAACTCTTCTTGGAAGCAAAACAACAGGACGCTCAAACTCAAAGACAGACGTGCTCAGTAAACCAATTTTCTTTTTCCTTTTATTCACTTTACCATCATAGTTTATCGACAGAATGCGCAGTAAGTATATATTTCACGGATCGACAAAAAGCGCTGCGCGATCCGCTGATCAACAGAATGCGCAACAATCGATGGATTGTTGCACGTTTCCTCAATCAACCAAATGCGCTGCGCGACCCGCATAGTTCGACTCGATTCGAAAAGTTAAATAGCCGTAGCATCTTTGTAGACGACCAAATTAATTTACTTATGTGTTTTAACATCATGTTTTAACTTTGTTTTGGTCAATTTGATCGTCCACACCAAGAGACAGTATTCAGAAAGAGACAGAGAGAGAGAAGAGGGGAGGAGTAGATCTTGCGAGAACTTAGGTGCAAATCAAAATGGCGACCCGCGTAGTTTGGCTCCATTCGAAAAGATAAATAGCCATAGCATCTTTGTAGACGATCAATTTAGCTTACTTTTGTGCTATAACGTAATTTTTTCTTTGCTTTTCCATTTGATCATCCACACCGATAGATCTAGAAAGTATTCTGAAATTAAGAAAAACAGGTCTTGTTTCACACCGGGTGAGAATAGCCAATGGTGGCAAGTCTCACCCGGGGTGAGAGGTTAATCGTATTTTTATTCTCACACCAGGTGAGGACAAGGATAGCGCCACACTTCCTTGCGCAAATCGACAGATCCCGCCCAGCATATACAAAGTAATAGGGAATAATGCCTCATCAATTCAAACAGTAAGAAAATGGATCAGGGACGTTGAAGGTGGAAGGTCTGACATGAAAGATGAAGCGCACTGAGAGGCCCCCAGTTGCCATTTGAGGCGACAGTGTAGAGAGAACCAAAGCTACTACACTGACTGTATAGTATTGGCATTGCATTGGCACTAGTCCTGGAGGAAGATACGACTTTATAAGATGAAGTTATTAAACCAACAAAAATATTTCGTTTCTTTTTAACAAAAAAAGCAAGAACAACCCACTTTCAATCAATGTATGTATTACGAATGATTTACGTCATGGTATGAAAAAAATCAATACTGCATCTGATGAACAAGTTGATTCAAGATTGTTTACCTTCGCGATCAGCCATCTTGAAAGTTTGGATTTCACTATTTCGCGGTTGCTTCCGGGCCGGACTGAATATTCATTTTTAATGATTTATAATGATATGAAACTTCAATAGCTTTCATATCTTTTTAAGTAATCATGGATACTATTGAAAGCTTAAAATATTTTATAGGTTCACTGTATCTGGAGTAAGAAATATTTGCACCGGCCCTCGTGTTGGTCTTTCTAACATCCGGTCGTCAAGATGAGGTACGATACACTCTCAGCTCAGTCAAAATATTCAAAGAAATATCCGTTATCATCTCGTGTTTTCGTGTGTTTTGGTTTATAATGTTATTTCTTTTAATAAGTAAGTGTTATGAAATGTACATTATGTAGATAATCTCTTGAATTAGTGTGATGAAGTCATCTCAATGTACTGTTTTTCTTGTCCCACAGGATTGAACTGTGCTCCTACAGCGGGCTGAAAATCTACCCTGGCCATGGCAAAAGAATGGTCAAGGCAGATGGCCGGGTAAGTCTTTCTTGTGCCACTCAGTAGGTATACAATATAGATCTAGCATGATTCATGAAAGGTCCCTCGGTCCTTATTAAGTCAGCCTTAGACTTACAGCGGTAAGATTGAAAAATACCGGACCAGCGGACTGAGACTACTTTTGCCTTGTCTCAACCGCTGTTATTTTAGTTCAGCACAGTTAAAAGAGCGGTTAATGGCTTTTTTTTATCGTAATGCTATTTTTATAATGTATGGATTGGAAGGGAAATTGAGATGAAAAACAATTACAAAATCATTTTTAATGGAATTTAACAGGAACTAATTTGTAGTACAGCATCCTTCTCTCAACCGTACCGTGGTCCGGGATACTTCATTTAGACAACAATGTAGGCCTACCTAGTCCGGGAAACTTCACCTAAGGCTAAACCAAGAGTGGCATTCACGACGAAGCATTCCGGACCACAGCGAAGCATGCCGGACCACGGATCATGTGCCTGCAGGGCAGGGCCTAAAGAACACAGCGTGTGTGGAACATCGCGAGCCACCGCCTCTCCCTTCCCCGCGCGGTCCGGCATTCTTCGTAAGAGCATCGTGAGATAACATCGATTTTAATATCTCTCAATGAAGAATCCCGGACCGTTGTCAAGGTGGAAACCCCCCAAACAACTTCCCTCTTCTTACAACCGGAATGAAGAATTTCGGACTGGTATAGATCTAGAAATCTATATCTGTTCATTCATAAAGTAGTTTGTCAGGGGTGAGACCCCCCTTGAACACACACACACACACACACACCCTTCCAAGATGTGTGTGAATGAAGAATGTCGGACCATCCAATGCTAGCCTTCCTCCTCTCGCGAATTGAAGCGCATGCGGCAGAGCGGTGTTGTTATGGAAGTAATCTGGCTCGCGCAAGGCGCAATAATACAAAAGTGGTCCGGTATTGTTCAATCTTCCCATGACTATCTAGAACTAGAGCCTCCTCACGTCATACCGTCACCTAGTTTAGCCCTCCTCCTGCGGGTCCGGGTTTATGTTGCCCGATAAGCCTATTTCGGCACCTCGCCTTCGTTCTGGTCCCGAATCAGTGTAGCCCCTGCCTCGACGCGTGCACACCGCACATCATCTTTCATGAAATTCGGGTTACGTGTCGGACCCCCATTCACGCAGGGCAGATCAAGTGTGTGTTCGTCAGTCTGCTTGAGTTTGTTTGTGTGCGTTTAACTTTGTGGCCTTCTTCTAGAACCGCCTGCGTTTGTTCGTAATCGAGGCATACATCTCGTTCAAAACACGCCAAGTTGGTAGCTCTAGATGTTCGTCCAATGAAATTATAGAAGAAATTGACCCACTTAGACAAGACTTCCATTTTTCTATACAAAATCTTTCAAATGAGTTTGATTTTGTATGAAATGATACTAGATCTAGATCTACCTGATAAAAAAGAAGCTTGTTTGATAGTTTTGAATACTATTATTAGACTATTATGCATGTACAAAGAATAATTTGAGTGCAAAACATTCTGAAATTGACCGAGATCTAGACATATCTATTATCCCCTTTTGAACCTCAGGTCATTCATAACAACAAGAACGTCTAGAAAGGTTACTCGAATGGGCGTAACTACTTGTAATGTCTTATCAGCTTGTACTTACTTACTACCCATTACGTCATCTAGCGTTTAGGGCAGCAATAAAGGATCTCCAGCTCTGTCTGTTTTGGGCCATCTTGGTCAGCGATCCCCACGAATGATTCCAGGCTCCAGGACTTCATGTCAGACTCTACTGTGCGTCTCCAGGTCACTTTGGGTCTGCCCCTTTTGCGACGTCCTTCGGGTGTCCAGTGGAGGGCAGTCTTCACAATTGTCTGGCTCTCTTCTCAGAACATGTCAAATCCATCTCCACCTTCTCCTTTTTATTATGGTTGTCATGTCCTCTTGCCTACATTTACGTAACATCAGCTTGTGAGAGGGGGTTATTCATGTTTGTAACACTTTATACATAGAAAGCTATGAAAGATAGAGCGTTATTTTCATCATCGATTGACACACTCCCACTGTATTCACAGCGAAAACACGTTCCCCGGCGTGCGCGCTGTACACCAACAGTACACACAGTGACCCCGGCACGTCCGACGTAATAGGTTGCTAAGATTCGCTTCTCAGCACAGACGGAGGACAAGAGTTAAATGTTTCGTGATGACTATTTCCGGAAGTGAACTTTTGTATTACCATAATTTCGGCTCTTTCAAAAACATCGACTCAAAATTTTGTGTCGTTGAGAGGTCAGAAGTTTTTAGTCAGATAGTGTATAAAGAAGACGCCTAACCGAGACTTGACGTGTGTCATGGCATGCACCCCATACCGTCACATGTCATGTTTTCTGGGGGGTCGGTCACCCCCTACACCCCATACCAGCACACTCAAATTGAAGCACAACTGGGCGTTTGAAAAAGAGGAAAGAAGCAAAGACGAACTCCTTTTGTAAAGTGGGCCTAAAACAGAGCTAATGTTTATTGACCTACTGAAAAGAACAACCACCAGAACAGACTCACATACTTCTTACTCACACATAGGTACATGAAAGTTTCATCTTACTCATCCACACAACTCATATGAACATCTTGCTCACACACAGGTTCTTGAATGCTTCATTTTACTCTTCCTCACATATCACAACAAACTCACATGTACATCTTACTAACACTCTGGGCACACAAACGTAAAATTCATTATTTCACTCAACACAGCACTCTGTCGACAGATGACCACAACTCTCACACGTCACGTCACACCCCACCCATCCATCTTTCTCACCCCGCCGCCCGCCCCTCAACAATAACATGCATTCGGGTCTCTCATCCACAGAACTGTCATCGTCATACACTAATCCCACCTCCTTTTCATCCTCTTGTTCTGTCTCCTCCTCGCTCTCTCCTTTTCTTCTCTTTTGCTTGAACATCTTTCCCTGTACTTTCCTCTTCCTTCCCTTACTCCTTATTTCACCTACTCTAACTTCCTTCTCACCATCCTTCTCTCTTCTACTTCCTCTCTTCTTCTAACTTTCTTGCCTCCTCCCACTCTTTATACCTAGCCCCTGACACGTTCTTGGGGACCTGAGTCCACTTTTGACTCGATAATTTTGAGTTCCAGCCCGATGGAACCGCCAGGTTGTTGAATGAGGGGGCTGGTATTAACGGGTTGTATAACTGGAGGTACTTTTTGTACGCCCCATCATTCTCGTTTGGTTTGATATTATGCCACTGGCGACGGCGGACCCAGTAGGTACATGTCCGCTGCTGTCCATCGAGTGGCAATAATATGATCAATGAGGCTGTCCAGGACAAAAGCATTAACCTGGTGCACTTCTCTCTTCTTCCTTCTCCACCCTTTTTCTCTCCCTTTCTCTCAACTCCTTCCTTCTTCTCTTCTTCTAACTTTCTTGCCTCCTCCCACTCTTTATACCTAGCCCCTGACACGTACTTGGGGACCTGAGTCCGCTTTTGACTCGATAATTTTGAGTTCCAGCCCGATGGAACCGGCAGGTTGTTGAATGAGGGGGCTGGTATTAACGGGTTGTATAACTGGAAGTACTTTTTGTACGCCCCATCATTCTCGTTTGGTTTGATATTATGCCACTGGCGACGGCGGACCCAGTAGGTACATGTCCGCTGCTGTCCATCGAGTGGCAATAATATGATCAATGAGGCTGTCCAGGACAAAAGCATTAACCTGGGGCACTTCTCTCTTCTTCCTTCTCCACCCTTTTTCTCTCCCTTTCTCTCTTCAACTTCTTCCTTCTTCTCTTCTTCTAACTTTCTTGCCTCCTCCCACTCTTTATACCTAGCCCCTGACACGTACTTGGGGACCTGAGTCCGCTTTTGACTCGATAATTTTGAGTTCCAACCCGATTGAACCGGCAGGTTGTTGAATGAGGGGGCTGGTATTAACGGGTTGTATAACTGGAAGTACTTTTTGTACGCCCCATCATTCTCGTTTGGTTTGATATTATGCCACTGGCGACGGCGGACCCAGTAGGTACATGTCCGCTGCTGTCCATCGAGTGGCAATAATATGATCAATGAGGCTGTCCAGGACAAAAGCATTAACCTGGGGCACTTCTCTCTTCTTCCTTCTCCACCCTTTTTCTCTCCCTTTCTCTCTTCAACTTCTTCCTTCTTCTCTTCTTCTAACTTTCTTGCCTCCTCCCACTCTTTATACCTAGCCCCTGACACGTACTTGGGGACCTGAGTCCGCTTTTGACTCGATAATTTTGAGTTCCAACCCGATTGAACCGGCAGGTTGTTGAATGAGGGGGCTGGTATTAACGGGTTGTATAACTGGAAGTACTTTTTGTACGCCCCATCATTCTCGTTTGGTTTGATATTATGCCACTGGCGACGGCGGACCCAGTAGGTACATGTCCGCTGCTGTCCATCGAGTGGCAATAATATGATCAATGAGGCTGTCCAGGACAAAAGCATTAACCTGGGGCACTTCTCTCTTCTTCCTTCTCCACCCTTTTTCTCTCCCTTTCTCTCTTCAACTTCTTCCTTCTTCTCTTCTTCTAACTTTCTTGCCTCCTCCCACTCTTTATACCTAGCCCCTGACACGTACTTGGGGACCTGAGTCCGCTTTTGACTCGATAATTTTGAGTTCCAGCCCGATTGAACCGGCAGGTTGTTGAATGAGGGGGCTGGTATTAACGGGTTGTATAACTGGAAGTACTTTTTGTACGCCCCATCATTCTCGTTTGGTTTGATATTATGCCACTGGCGACGGCTGACCCAGTACATGTCCGCTGCTGTCCATTGAGTGGCAATGATATGATCGATGAGGCTGTCCAGGACAAAAGCATTATCCTGGGGCAATTATTTGGGGGCTTGCAGTGTTACCTGAGCTTCATCTTCCTCTGGTCTCTACGCCTGCTCAGGAAGACAATAGTCATGGTCCTGATCGTCCACTGGACCTCGAGCTGGTGTTGAGACCGTAGGTAGCTGAAACTCTGCTGCATTGTCCAGGA